AAAATATTAATATTTCAATCATGTGATGTAATGGAACATTAACCTGAAAGGTAACGTAAACCTTGAATATGTTTTGATTCAGTGGGGTGCAAATACGTTAACAACGAGATAATAGTGTCGATATAATATGACAAGTTAAAAAAGATTATAATACAACTAGAATCAACTTTATAAGAAAAGTCAGTTGCTAAATGAACAAAAGTATAATCAACAAGAATTTTAAATTGTTAACTGTAAAAATTGAATCATAGAAAAATGTATGATATCATTTATATTTATAAGGGAATGAGTCTCTTTGATGTTTCTTTTTATATTAATAATGTTGCCTATTAACATGTGAATACAAAAAAAATTATTTATTGGATGACTTGATGGATGTATAGAAATATACTTATATAAATCTAGTATGAAAGGTTCAAATAATGGATTGAATGTAAGAAGTAAAATTAAGAATGGTTAAGTTGACGAGTGTGACATATGTATTTGTTAATAAGGAAATGATGCATAAATTAAAATTTTTATGATCAAATTATAATAAATTTTGAATATTATATATATTGACTATAACTAGAATAGAAAGTAAAAATTATTATAAACACTATTTTTGCAGGTTGTTCGATTCTTTATACTTAATTTTAATGAAGGAAGATAAAATGAAAAGAATAAACAGTAAGAGTATTGTGTTTTTTTTTTTGTCTAAGTATACGAAAGAAAATAAAAATATTAATATTTCAATCATGTGATGTAATGGAACATTAAACTGAAAGATAACGTAAACCTTGAATATGTTTTGATTCGGTGGGGTGCAAATACGTTAACAACGAGATAATAGTGTCGATATAATATGACAAGTTAAAAAAGATTATAATACAACTAGAATCAACTTTATAAGAAAAGTCAGTTGCTAAATGAACAAAAATATGATCAACAAGAATTTTAAATTGTTAACTGTAAAAATTGAATCACAAAAAAATGTATGATATCATTTATATTTATAAGGGAATGAGTCTCTTTGATGTTTCTTTTTATATTAATAATGTTGCCTATTAACATGTGAATACAAAAAAAATTATTTATTGGATGGCTTGATGGATGTATAGAAATATACGTATATAAATCTAGTATGAAAGGTTCAAATAATGGATTGAATGTAAGAAGTAAAATTAAGAATGGTTAAGTTGACGAGTGTGACATATGTATTTGTTAATAAGGAAATGATGCATAAATTAAAATTTTTATGATCAAATTATAATAAATTTTGAATATTATATATATTGACTATAACTAGAATAGAAAGTAAAAATTATTATAAACACTATTTTTGCAGGTTGTTCGATTCTTTATACTTAATTTTAATGAAGGAAGATAAAATGAAAAGAATAAACAGTAAGAGTATTGTGTTTTTTTTTTTGTAAAAAAAAATTACTTTGATATTTTGATTTCAAGGCTTAAAAGAAGCTATTTTAAGTGTAGAAATTACAAGGTATTACATTGACGGACTTAATAGATATAATTCATAAAGTTTGAGTACTAAAATAAATTTTTATGAGAACTTTAAAATCATCATCCATTTGAGGTGCTTTTTCTATTTTAGTCCTTTATCTTTTAATTTTGTCTTTAATCAACAAATTCAATTCAATTTTTCTTTAATTTCACCTAAAAAATACAATCATGCAAAAAAAAGTTTGAGAACAAAAAAAATAAATTAAAAATGTGAGAGAATAATGCGCACAATATTTACGCCAGAATGTTTAGAGCTCTGTATAATAATATTACAATGAGTTTAGACTGTTATTGTAATTTCCAAAAATATAGGGGACGATATATATTTATGTCTAAAGCTAGGGATGTATCTGTACGTCGAAAATGTGGATTCCTAAACAGTGGCGAGCCATGACTGGACTTCTGTGAGTCGCGCGAAGCAGAAGATCCCAACCAACTCTCTCTCCCTGCAAATCAAAACCAAAATTAGCACCACCCGAGGAGGCACAAGCACAATCCCTCTCTTTCTCCGTAAACGCTTCGTCATTTCGATCTGTAAGTCATTGCTATTTCAATTCAGTGTTTATACATTGCTATGCCCATTATGACTATAATTTTTTATTGTGAGTTTCCAAATTTTTAGCCAATTAATTGACTTACTTGTGCCAATCTGTAATCAGGGAATGATAAACTAACACCTGTAGCAGGTTATCGTAATTTGTTTTTTTGAATTTTGGATCTTGTGTGAAGAAACTAGGCTTGATGATTCTGTATTCTTTTTTGCTAGGCAGTGAAGATTTTGCATCATAGTAATTGGGCTTTGCTTAAAGGTCTATGTCTGTGCCAAACGAGGATAACATGTCTCCTCATATGCAGGTATTCATTTTTCTTTAAAAAAACTCACGCGATTTTTTTTTACTGAAGTAGACCATTCTTTTATCGGTGATTTTAATGTTAAGGTAATCTGTCAGTGATTATTTTACGAGTTCTTGTTAAATACAAGATATTGTGTCTGAAGAGCTTTGTTATTATGGATGGGATTTGATCATTGCGTCTTTCTTTTGTTCCAAGTGAAATTCTTACAGAGACGCTGCTGGTACAATTGTCTGGTTGTTAATAGTTAATACTCGCTATCGTGTGATAATGTGAGACCGTAGAGGCACATAATACATCGCACCGTCGTGATTGCAATGCAGCTTTGCATTATATTGCTCCTTGTTGAAAATGATTCCAAGTTAAAACCTTTTTAAGAAATGGAAGTAAGGAAGGAACTTTTGGTGTAAGTTGAATTCTCACCATTCTCTGTGGAGAATTGTTTAGTTAAAACAATGGAGGAATAATATGTGGATGTCTCCTGGTTAAAGATGTTGAGATTTATTCCCTCCTGCTCTGCTGGTTCTTTGCTAAGGAATCATGTGTTCCCCCTGGAAATGAACCGTCCATGACCTATCACTCTTACCGCTTATATGGCTCTTCTCATGTTCTTTCTGACATGCTTTTTCGTATAAAATTGTAGTCTATGTTTTTGATGGTTGTGATGTTTTTATCACAGCTTTCATCTCATTTTTTGGGGGATCTCCTTGATTCCATTATTGTTGATGTTGCCTCTGAGTGTCATCGGATTGCAAGACTGGGTCTTGATCGCAATTTGGAGGAAGAGGAAGAAGAATTGAGGTTGTCAGCACAAGCTCGTGTTACAGTAGCTGATCCTAGTAATAGTGGTGAAACCAATGGCAAGTATGTGGTAGACATTTTCGGACAAACTCATCCATGTGTTGCAAATGAAGTTTTTGACTGCATGAATTGCGGGAGACCAATTGTGGCTGGAAGATTTGCTCCTCATCTGGAGAAGTGCATGGGAAAGGTGAGCCTTTGGCTGCTAACATGCTTGGCAGCCTTATTATTATTTTTTATTAGAACTTTTCTTTCTCATGTCATGGTTCAGTATAATATCTGGCAAGTATCTTGGCTGGTATTACTCTTACAAGAATTCTCTGATTTTCACTCTGAAAATCATTTTTTATGCTTAAGATGTCTGTATTAGATTTCTGTTTTGCACATTGATGTGCTTTGGGTCTTCCATTCAGGGTAGGAAGGCTCGTGCCAAGGCCACAAGAAGTAGCACAGCCGCACAGAATCGGTACTCACGAGGCAGTCTTGTTTCCGCATACTCTCCTTATTCAACTTCCACCAGCACAAACAGGTTATTGAATGGAACATACAGTCACACAGTCGAAGAGTACTCAAATGGAACATGTGAAGGGCCCTGAATAAAACACGAGTGATGCAGGCTGACTTCAAGGCATGTAGCAACTACAATTGATGAGGGTTGTTTTGTTTTCTTAAAGTTAATATCGAAAGAGGACTTTACGCACAATCTGTCTGTAAATATTGCAAATTAATCCTTTGTTTGAAACTTCCGATTATGGAATGAGAGCAAAACCTCCTGCTGCAGGTGAATGTTGCTACATCTCACTTGTATTTCTTTCCCCTGCTCATCCTTATATTTAAAGGGCAGCTTCTATGCCAACAAGACATGAAAGTTCAATCTTCATATACCGTACTGAATAATTTGGAGAAATTTGGGAAAAGGAGAGAAGGTATATGGCTAAAGCAAGGTATCAAACAAGTGCTGAACACGTTAAGCTCCTGCATTTCATGCCCTTTGACGGATTTCATTTCGAGCTTCATTTCTCAACACTAAAACGTCCAGCAGTGAAGATCAATTGAAGTGGGAAATGAAGTTTCTTCAGCGAGGAAAAAATTCCGTTGCCGGGACTTGAAGGTGAGACCCGAATATCCTGACCAACTAAACGGCAATGGATTCATGTTATAGTTGTCCCAGGTAAGAATAATATTGTATTATATTAAATCAACTGAATATTCCATGTTTGATTGAGAATATATACATCTTCACTCGATCCTTCCAGGTGGTAACAGTTCGAAGAAGCAGTTACACTTGTGTCACCAGTGTAATTGTGCTTTAAGAGATTTGGATTCGAAGGCCTAGGCTTATAGGATGGAAGGTTGGACCACTACGTGATCTTCTTACTGTGTTCTTCTGTTTCAAAAGCTATGGTTCTTTTTGCCAAAAACATGGGCAAGACGTCGGCATCTTTAAAATCAGCGTATGATTGCTTTTTCAAAATCTTGAGACGTGCAGTGTGCAATGGCAAGATTTTGTCCAAGGAAATGATTTTCCTCACCTCATCACATGGGCCGCGGCGAGTACTATAGATCAGTGCAAGTGCACTAGCCGGGAAGATGATTTCAAAAATCAAAACCAAAATGGAAGTGGTAAAGAGCAACGATAACACTGCGGACGGGGGGAGTGTTTCGAGCTCCACCCAGAATTATAAATTTATAAAGACAGATTATGTTGCTTTTGTTTGAGACTTTTGAGAGTGTATTTGAGAATTCAAACCAGAACAAGTTTTCATGTCTCAGATCAAAGTTTTAAATATGGTTCATGCAATGCTTCCAAGCATAATTCATCTATATACAAGAAGGTAAATGGATGAGACGAGAAGAAACTCATCTATCATAAGAAAAACTGCATGTACAGATATGGAAGCAGTTCGAAATAAACCCCTCCATTTATTGGCAGAAACAGCACTCGATGATCAAAAGAGTAAGAGATGCGACTCAACATGGACTTCAAGTCCTATCACCTATGGAAAAACATAAACCATTTTGAATTTGTACAAAAACCAACCAGTAAACAGAACTCATGATTAGTCAAACAGCTCCCAGTCCTGAGTTAGTTTTGTAGCAGATTGTAGTGGAACAGGGGCGCTCAGGCTTCCAACTCCAGACGCAAATGTCTCCCATTGAGTAGTCACCGATACTGCGTTGCTGTTATGGCTAAACGATTTAGAGTTTCTCGCTTTCAAATTCTCGAGTTTGTCCACAAAGCTCTGGATTCGACGAGCCTGCCATGAAAATCCGAAATTAAATATCATCGTTCTGACACAGAACTGCACTGAACAACATATTTGTCGTTATGTTTTGATCTGAATAGAAGCGATTCCATTGGTTAAGGACTTTAATTTCTTTAAAAAGAAAAACGTGAACATCAAGGTCATCACCCTGGCAGCCTAAGGCATTATGAGTCATCCTGAAGCAATGACCACGCGAGGATTAAATAGTGCTCATGGGAAATAATTAAGAGGCCATTCTGGGTGAAAAAACCCCGCCTGTTTCCTACAAATAATGACAGCAGAGGACCTCTTACATGCACTTTCTTTTCAAGTGTGGAGACAACAATTTTTCATCCGCAAGCACTATTCTATCTACTCTTCTCAAATCTCTCTCTCTTTTTATTTAGATGGAGTGGGAAAGCATGATTAATGAAATATGAAACTGACAACTCCTTATAAACAGCTGAAATAGCCCTTTAATCAGGACCAACATAGGCTCCAACCTGTACCTAAGCTGTGTTTAATCATATAATTCCACTTTCTAGCATTGTTTTACCTATATTATTGGATCACTTTAAGCTCTTAGGCACATGAAGAGCAAGAATCTTTCGAGCCCACGCTGAAACCTGACTTGGGAAATTTCAACAAGTCATAAATTCAAGATATGTTCCCTCGTGCTTTTGTACGAACTAATGGAAAATAATCATGGAAATACCGCATGCAAAGGGAAAAGTTTTGCAAGCAGGGAAGGCATTATAAATAACCTCAATCTTTCTCTGCACTTTCGCTTGTCCATCTGCCTCAATTGAATCCAATTTAAGCAATTGTATCATAAGCAATTCTGTTAAGACAGAAAATTCTTTTTCTGCAATCTTGGTCCCACTGCGAATATTGGTCTCTAATGCAACAACCTAAGAAATCATCAGCACATTGATAACCAATAAGTTCTCTGATTTGCCATCAAGGAAGGCTTTAACTTTTATCTCAATGCGAAAGCTAACCTTCTCGCAAAGTTTATCAACCTCTGCCCTCACGCTGGCAACAGCTTCATAGGCTTTTAATGTATCCTGATTTCTCTTCATATCCTCAAGCTTCCTCTCTTTGCTGGCTGGATCCTCAAAAAGTATCACCTTTGACATGTCTTTTACACCTACCATGTGCAGATATTCATCATTCTCCTTTTCTTTGCCTTTAAACAATAGCCTCTGCTCCTTAGATTCCAGACCAGTCTCATGAGCAAGGACTTTTTTCAAATCCCCTTCAATTCAACCAAATACAGCAATTAAGCATCAACTTGCGAAGGTAGAATAAGGGACTGCAAAATATTGCAACCAGTACCCTCATTGAAACCCAGCAGCAAGTCTAACACGTTAGGCAATGAAGGTAAACTCAGCCAACGTCATGGACAATCAAATTGCATGCAAGAAGGAGAGGAAACATATAATGAACGTTCGAAAACAAATGACCATGATCAATGTACATCCCCATAAAGCTAACTTAAGAAAAATTAATTTTTGAGTATGACTTTTGTCCGTCGGATAAATATGCAGTGCATATTGAAATAGAAACAAAAGCCAAAAGGCTTGTTCGATGACAAAAAAGAAGAAGCATTACACAAAAATGCTAAGAAATGTCAAAATCTATTGCCAAGCATGACTAGACCCATTCTCATTAAATGCAAAACAATCACTCAATTAAAAACTAGGACCAACCACAGTTTTGGCTATGACCCAACGAATCAACAGCAAAGTCGACCCCGGAAGGGAGAAATGAGATTCTAGCATTTTATCCAATGGGATCAAACCAAAGAAAGCAAATTTCAAGCGCAATTAATCAGTGACAAAAGATTACCAAAAGTGGATTGAGCAGGGACAGCAATATCATAGTGACACAAGCCATGAGAGACCTTGATCTTGATCATAGGCCCAGAAGAGCCATCCCCAACATCCATCTTTTGAACAAGCATGCCACCAGGCCTCAGTTCCCAGTGTATCTCCCTGTAGTTGGACTCCCTTGTCTCTGTGCTTTTTGAAGTTGATTTTTTCATGGTCAAGAAATGGAGTCAAGGATCATATGGAAGTACAGAATTTGAAGAAAAGTGAAAAGGGTAGAAGTTGGGTTGAGAGAAAGGTGATCGGTTGGTCACTGAAGTAGCAAATCAAGATTATTGACTAAGCAAACCAAAAAAAAAAACAAAACCCTTTAAGACAGAGACTTGTCAGCGCTCAGCAGACTTTAGAGCTTAGCAGTTGGTCGGTTTCTCTCAATAACTTGTGCTAAAAGAAAGTTGGTCCAGTTCAGGACCATGACATACTCTATTTTCAGGGCGTTCAAATATCTTCATCAAGATCAACACTGTATAAGGTAAAAGTAATGGCGAAGTCTTTAAAAATATTAAAAATCTATTATTTCGCTTCAACAAAGGCACATTATTAATTATTAAGTATTAAAAGAAATCTAAATGAAGAAAGAAATTGCCAAATTAAAAGGTGAATATCAATGACAAACTATAGGCAGAGAAACAAAAGCTACTTGATAAACCTTTATTTGATAGCAATGGAATACTAGGGGCTACCTTGAAATATATATGCAAACCCTCTAATTTCTTAAAAAATCAGAGTTAGAAAAAGAAAAATTGAAGCTTTCTATTCATATACAATATTTATCTATCCAAAAAATTAAAAAAATAATTTTTCAGTTTTTCAAAAATACTGAATTTTGAAAACACCCTCCAATTTCTCTACACAAGTTTTGACTGATTTTTGAATGAATTGAAAACTCTAACAATATTTTATATATATATACATGTACTTCTTAGCAATAAAAAGAATTAATTTTTTTATATTTAGTCAGTGTCATAAACTTAATTTTTATTATAAATCTAATATAAATATTTCTTAGTTAACAATATAAATTTTTTATAATAATTTTTAATTTAAATAAAATAAAATTCCAATTAGATTACCAAAAATATAAAATGTGACTATTATAATCATAGTTTTTATTTTAAAAAAATTTATAATCTTGATGTATTTCCTATTTTTTAAGTAAAAATATCCTTTTCTGTTATCAATAATTTTTTTTTAATTTTTCATTGAAAAGGAAAATTAAAAAAAAAACTAGGACGTAAATTATTTTTTTGATTAGCAGACATACCCTTAACTTTTGTTTTGATATTTTCTTACAGTAAAATAAAAATAAATAAATAAATTATTTGATACCATAATCACTATCTTTAATACAACATAAGTGATGGAATATTAACTTTGTGACATCCTCGTGAAGTCAACTCGTCATTTATTTGCCATTCAAATGGCAATATGTTTTTTTTTTCTTTCTTATTTAGGGGATGCCATTTTAGAAAAAAAAATTAAATGTTTTTCCAGGTTTTGATTCAATATAAAATAATTTTCAATTAATTTCTAAATATTGCTGCCTTGGAAAAAAAATTAATCTCATGAATATGGGGTGTTTTTTTTTTATATATATACTATCAACTCATTATATTTATCAACACATCGATTAATTATATCAGTTATCACTACGTTGACATTAAAACAAAAAAGTTATTGTTACTCAATAAACCAATTTTTAATCATTGTAATTATTGTAATTAATATAGTGTAAAATAATCTTTGAAGTAACATTGAAGGTAAAATAATCTTTTTTATTATGACATAATTATTTGTTGTGAATTATATGAAGTTCGTTTGATAATTTTATTTTAATGTACAATAAAATTACTCATTTAATTCTGAAATTAAATAATTTAATGCCTACTACTAAAAGATTTTTTGTATTTTTATTTGTTAGAACAATGTAATTACTTTAATACCCTTAAAGATAAAATTACTTGAACTCTCAACCTAGATTTGTTTTTTTGGTAATTCTACATTGTTTTTATTGTAATTTTTAAGGGTATTCACAATTAGTGTTTTAAATTATATTTATTAAATATAATTAAAAAAAATGCTAGCGCATGCTATCCGAGCAATGTATGAGGGTTGTTTAGCCATCAAAAGTCATCTTCTAGAATGATGTTTAAAAAATATTGATAACTTTTATATAATAGTACGTTATATTTTTCAAAATTCACAATGGTTTATTGCCAACAATCATTTTTTTCCTCCTTCTTTTTCTATATGAAGTTTTGTGTTGACCCTATGTAAAATCTCAAAACAACTCCCTTAGATTTTCCTTCCTTGATATCTGGTACTATACTTTTGATTACTATATATATAAACTATAAAATTATTGATATTTTTCAATTTTTCTTTTCTATTTTTAATCTATAAATAATTTATAAAATTATAAATGTTTTTTAATTTTACCTCTTGATATTTTTATTCAAATTTATTTATTTTATTTATTTATTTTTCAGTTTTTTCTATCAAATTTTTTCTTTCTTGTTTTTGTATTATTGTTAGTATTTTTTTAATTACTTTTTGTACATCAATAAAATTTGCTTAGACTAGTGGAGTGGTGGAGTGCTGACAATATATCTAGTAATCACTGCAACAACAACCCAATCAATTACCACCATAATTATTATTATATTTTAGTGTTTGCATTGGAATATAGTAGAATTTTTTTTAAAATATTTTTTATTTAAAAATATATTAAAATAATATTTTATTTTTTATTTTTAATATCAGTGTATCAAAATGATATAAAAATACAAAACAAATTAATTTAAATCTAAAACTTTTTTAAAAAATTTAAAAATATAATTATACTATAATGTAAAACATCTTATTATCAATGTCACCGTAATTTTTACCACATCATAACCCCACCACTTCCACAATAACAATTGTCATCATATTGCTACCATCAACATCAACAATAATTATGTGTTATCCCCACCGCACATAATTACTATCATACAATTACTATTAATATTATTACCATCACAACAACAATGCCACCAGCAAAACTATTGTTGTCATAGATATTGTCTCATTGATATTAGTGTATCGATATAAAAATACAAAATAAATTAATTTAAATTTAAATTTTTTTTAAAAAAATTAAAAATACAATTATACTATAATATGTAAAACATCTTGTGATCAATGCCACCGTAATTTTTACCACATTATAACCCCACCACTTTCACAATAACAATTGTCATCATATTGCTATCATCAACATCAACAATAATTATGTGTTATCACCACCACACATAATTACTACCATACAATTACTATTAATATTATTACCACCACAACAATGCCACCAACAAAACTATTGTTGTCATAGATATTGTCTCCTTAAAAAATTGTATTTTTTCTCACCTTATCATAATGAATAAAGAAATTTTATTTTATAAAAAAATATTTCTCATTACTTCCTGAAAAATAACTCATTTCCTAGAAAGATATTTTCTTATAATTTTTTTTCCTTTAAAAAATATTTTTCACAAAATAATCCTTTAAAATTAGTAAAGTAGCATATTTCCTAATTCAATGAAAGCATGGAATTACTGTTCTTGATTTTCTGTTATAAAAGAACCTGTTTAATTATCATAATACCTTCTCAATTAAAGAAAAACAATATCATTAGTAAGATTTTTCTAAAATAATTTCTAAGAACACACATCAAGGAGGCATTAAGTTCTCAAATTTAAAATTTCACTCACCTCTAGCTACGATGAATTATAAAAAGCCACTGTTTTCGTACAATGTAAAATGACCAATGGTCGGAAATGGAATATCAAACTCTGATCTCGTAAAAAAATAAAAGGGCACATTGGACAAAACCCTAGTATTATTATCGGATAATATTATGACAGGATCAACTACTCTACTGTTTATTTTAATATCAAACTTGATTTTTTAAAATAATTTTTAAAATATAAAAAATTATTATCTTAATATACTTTAAAATAAAAAAAAACAATTATCAATATATATTACCTATACATAATGTGATTAAAGGGTCCACACACTACAACTGTACATAATGTGATTAAAGGGTCCACACACTTTTGTCTCGTATCCTTAATGATAATGATCTCGAGGGTGCCTAGCACTTCTCCAACCTGCAGATGATGTGTGTGTGTGTCTATATATATATTTGGTGTTTGTTGGTGAAGGCACACGGATCCGATGTGCCTGTTTTGACATTGCTCAGTTCAACGGAGATTATTTGGTACCCACAGGCAAATAATGCACCAAGATCTTTATCTTAGATTTTCCAGGCCAGGAAGACAAGGATCTTACTTGGATTTTGCTTTTGTTTTGACCACATGTCATCCTGTGCCCATGTGTTTCTGAAATTTTATCAGTAGCCCATATGGCTGAATTCGTAGTCACGTTTTATACCTGCCTCTCCCTAGAACCAAGCACTAATTTGTGAGGAATTATAAATCAAACAGTAAAGGCAAGACGAAAATAATGTTGTTATATTATTTATTGTTTAGAAATATATTAAAATAAATTTTTATTTTATTTTTATTTTATTTTTAATACTATATCATAACAATTTAAAAACAAAATAATCATTAAAACAAATATGATTTCAACAGAAACAGCCTCTTCTCGGAACAAAATCAAAGTAGAGAAATAAGCTATTTTGCGAATTATTTGTGTTTGCAATTTCGAGAAACTAGGCCCCAAGAAAAGTCGTACGGGCCAGATTTCGTACGAGACTGACTCTGAAATCCTCAGGAGATCCTTGGCCCAAATAAGTGCACGGTACAGTGAAATCAACTAGGCCCACTAAATAACCAAGAATCCTCCTCTCCTTAGTGATTGGACTCTTGCAGGATGGTGTCTTGTTGTACGAAAGAGACTGAGAGAAGCACATAATCCAAAGATAAGGTTTTTTTTTAAAAGGAATATTTTTTTTATGTTTTAAAAATATTTTTATATTTTAAATCAATTTTTTTTTGTGTTTTTTAGATTATTTTAATTTTTTAATATCAAAAATAAATTTTTAAAATAAAAAATATTATTTTAATATATTTTCGAGCGACACTCCCTAACAACACTAAAATGGTTTGAATGTGATTTACAAAGCATGATTCAATTAAATTTTTATAAAAAAATATTTATTTTATATTTTTATATTGTTTTGATGTGTTGATGTTAAAAATATTTTTTTTAAAATAATATTATTTTAAAGTATTTCTAAGTGAAAAACATTTTAAAAAATTACTGCTTCAACAATGTTAAATAAACTCAAACTTTAAAATAAACTATGGGTTGGTTTAGTTGCCAATTACTTTATAAACATTGTAAAAGAGTCTTGAGTTTGAATGTCTATATTAAAATCTTTTATTAAAAGTATTTTAACCTCATTTTTGGATTTACTTTGAATTTCAATTATTAAA